AAAATTTCACAAAAGAACCAAATACTTCATAAATATAATCTTAATAACAATTCATAAGATATCTCAAATACTCAAAAATATCATCCAATATCCAATACTCAAATCTCAAATATAATTCTCAATAATAATCCATAAGAAATTCCAAATACTCAAATGTAAATACTAGAAATCTCATAAAGTACTCAAATACTTTCAAAAATGATTAACGAGGAAAAATATAATTTTGGTTGACGTGAAACTTACCTCGAACTCCAAGTACTCCTAGAAAATCCTTTACTTTGCTCCTCACTCAATCACCTTCTATTAAAATTCAATGATCAATATCCTGTCAACATAGTTAAATTTCTCTACCCTTTTATTTATAAATTTGTCCCTCTAATGATTCTCTTATTTCACAAATTATTAATTTAGTCCATAGTTTATTACTATTATTATTATTATTATTATTATAAATCCAGTCCGCCAATAAGCCAATAGTCCGGATGTGTTATATACCAATAGTCCAACTAACTTCATTGTTGTCAGTCACTACGTATTATCCTTAATATTGTTACTGTTGTTAATTTTGATAGGCCAAGCTAAAAATAAGCAGCCATTTAAATTAACTTTGGCCCATTCATATCTATTATTATATAATAGCAAAAGAAAGCTTCTTGAGCAAGTTCCCGCCCAAAGGTAGTATCTTCTAGAATCATGATGTTACTTTCACGAGAATACAACTTTTAATTGATTTACAAACTGAAAATCCATAAAATATGAATCGGTAATGATAATTCTGAGAGAAGATTTCTGATTGGCTATTTTGGTTGAGCGAATGGCTGATGTTTGATTCCCCCATAGAAGCATTTAATGCATGTCTATTGTATGTTCAGATTTTGTCCTGTACCTGTATATAAAAAATGGAACGTGGGTGTCAATTAGCCGATGCACTCCTTATCTTTCGATTCAAATTCAATTCCATTTTGTCTGGCTTAACAAGAGCAAAAAATGGAGTTTTCTTAGAGATGTGAACAAAAAAATGGACAGAGGGACTCAAGGTTAGAAGCTATCGAGTGTTTAGACTTTAGTGTTCCACCTTCCATGGAATGACTCCATATTCCATGATGATGAATTGTGAGGCATAGTTTTCAATTGGGTACTTCTTAGTGTTAATGTTTATTTTTCTAACCATTCATTTTTTAGATAATTCTTTTAGGTTGTTTTCATATAGATAATTCTTTTTATGCCGTTTATTCCATCTATTTTAAATTAAGTATTGCTGATAAATACTCATGTTTTGTAAGTATGGTTTAAATTGTTTTCAAATAAGACATGTTTTTCTTCAATTTCTAAAATTTGGGGATCTTTTCATATGATATCGAGAATAGTTTAATTTTAAAATTATATAATCATTTTCAAATAACAGCAACAAACTAAGAGTTAAAAAAAGGTTGATTATAAATAACTATTAGATCACAATCATCGGTTTAAAAGAAAGGAATCTGCCTGTTTGTGTACGTGTGACTAGGAAAAAGCTGAAAATGAAAGTTGTTTTAAAATTCGGATGCAAAAAAACCTAAAAAGAAGAATAGGAAATTTCTACATAGGTGATGACAGATCTAAGTATAAGTTAAAAAGCCAAGTTATTAGTCTTTTACTTAACGTACAGGTGGTACAACAAAATTTTAAACAAATGATATCAGACCAATACTTATTTTTTGCGGTATAATAGAATTTGCTATAGAATTTGTTGAAGATCGCTGCTTGCAAAAGGGGCACCTTTAAGCATAAGCATGAAATGGGAGTCTTCGAATCAAAAGAACAACTATTTTAAGCTCTAAAAATAAAATTCTTGGACAGCTAATTGATGGTAGCAAATTTTACTTAGTTATTACTCTATCAAATTTAAGTAAGTAATTTCATCAAGATATTTTAGCAAGGCTCAAAATCTTTAAAAAAAATGCAATTCTTTAGAGTCTTTGATCGATGGTATCACACCATAAATAATTTATGGTGTGATAAATTGAAATAGAGTGCTAAAAATGGGAGCTTTCAAGATGTTCAAAGTCATCGATCACCTGACATGTATCATCTGTAGCTGTTTAAGATAGCAGGTCTGAGTATGAGCTTTTTATTACACTGTTACAATCAAACATTTCAAAATTGTTTAAAAACAATACTTAGTATTTTACTACGTATATGGTTTCTGTATCAAATGATAATATAACAAAAAAGCTAAAGCAAAATCATTCTGAAATAACTGATCACTTGCTGCAGCCTAAAGTTCATTTCTAAGGTTAAGCAAGATTTCTTTTGCATTTATAGGTTAAGCAAGATTTCTTTTACTATTACTACCTTCGTCCCCCTGTTATTGTTCCATTGCGGTTTACGATGCTTGAATGATGATAAAGCAAATGGATCCCTGTCCGCACTAGAATTAATTTTAGAAAATAAAATTGCATATTCAGAAACTACATTAAAAGTTTTACAAAGTTGCAAAAATCGGAATCAAATTTGATAAATAAAGTAAGAGATTAAGAGTGATTGGTGTTAACCAAGTGAATATGAAATGAGACAATAACAAGGGGACGGAGGGAGTATATAATAATAATAATAATAATAATAATAATAATAATAATAATAATAAATAATAATAATAATAATAGATATATGATTTCTTATTTGTGAAATGTGTATTGAAGATATAGGAAATCTGCCATTTTAAAAATAAAATCATAATGGAATTTTCTGGAGGTAGCAGCTTCCAAGATGTGCACCTTTAAAACATATTCATACAATTAGAGTCTAGCTCAATATTTTACTTGATAGCAAACTCATAATAACAACTATTTTAAGTTAAAAATCAGAACGCTTTGAAGAGTTGCTTACTTTTCTACTCAATAGGATATATTAACATATACTACGTATAATTATGGTGAAACAATGAATCGAACATATAATTATCTTCTGTTGTTTCTGGGATTCCAAACAGATGATAGTTCTTCATGATCTGGGTAGCTTTAAATAATTAATAAGTATTAAATGGTAGTTATTTAAGTGATTCTGAAAATGTTTTATGGCATTGTTTCTTTAAAAAATCACGAGTAAGCAATGAAACATAATGATATTACATTTTTAAAAAGTTTTTATTGAATTTGAGTATAACTAATTTCATACAGATTTTTCCGCTAAGTCCCGATCTTTTGACAATTTGCAATTTTTAGAGTCTTTTATATAATTGATCGGTGGTATCACACCAAAAATTGAAACAGACTCATATTGGGTTAATACTTGATTATCTTTTGTTGTATGGTAGAGTTTGCTGAACGGTAGAGTTTGCTAAACTGACAGGTTCCAAGTGGTGGAATTTGATTCATATATATAACTTCACTTTTGCTTCAGCCCAGAGTTCTTTTGAGAGGGCAGATTCCTAGAGCTATACCTTTAATGAATAATGTGTTTAAATAAGAGAATAAGCTGATAAATGTTGTTCTTTTTTAACTTAGTTTTTTGAGCTTACTGTTTACGAAATTTATTGTCACAAATCAAAGTATGATACATAATTAAAAGGTAAAGAATAAAAACTATGTTATGTTTACCTTTTAGAAAATAGATTTAGTTACAAGACTTAAAACTTTAATGTGAAATTTATGATAAAGATTTTAATTTGAGAGCATGCATTCATTTGAGCATCCGGATGCACAATACCCAACACTCAGAAATTGATTAAACATAAATTCAACTAACACACATATACCCGTCAATCTAATTTCGGTGGAGAAGAGCACCGCCTTGGCTGCGGTGAGTTACTTCCTTCGAGGACAACAAGGGCCACGGATACGGGTAGGAGAACAGGGACACCCGTGAATCGATGACACAGTCACACAGTACGTCCGTCAATCTTTTATCAAGAGTCAGGCAAGCACGTCGGGATTCGATTAGGACAGATGAATTAGGTGTTAATTGTAAGTGTAATGAAGAAGATATACATGAAATATTCTTATTTTCTGTTGAATCGTAAGTATTTCTTAAGGAGTCGTAGTAATATTGAGAACTTACGCAGTCATTGATTACAAGCGGACTGAATGAAGGCAGTAATATTGAGAACTTACGCAGTCATTGAGGATGGATTGAATGAAGGCAGTAAGGTTACGACACACAAGCGGAAAGTGAGATCGGATCCCTGGCGGAAATATCCTTTGGAAGGGTTTGTTCGAGAATTTCACTCTAAGGGGATTCCAACCTCAGTAAAACTAATAAACTATGCTTCAATATAACCTGGAACTTGTGATTTTATTATTTTGATCTGTGATGATAGAAATGAATAGAGCAGATGAACATTTCATATGAGGATTGAGGAAAACCCTACCAGAATGAGGCCTTTGATGGTTGGTGGAAGTAGTGGACCATGTAGGTCGGTTATTTTGGAGCAAAAAAATGGATTGGGCCTGTAGGAGTGTTACACTGGACAATGCTTTTTTGTCATGCTAATCACAAAATTTTTATTGCTAATACTTCTTCAGTTCTTCATGATACTTCTTATTTTCATGCTTACCTATGCACAAAATTGATTTTATTAAATTTAATTTTGTATTAAGAAATAATAATTAGAATCAAGATTATGAATTTGTAATTAGACGAATTTAAACATGTATTTCAAAAAAAATCTCATACATTAATATATAAAATGTAGTCGAAGTAGAGTATTTGAATAGTGTAAATTTTTAATATTGCAACTAAAAAGAAATAGAGGATGATATATACTTTGTACGTCGTATATTTAAATAAATGGGATGAAAAACTATTTTATATCGAGTATAATCCTCAGTGTTCCTTAGTTTTAGAACTTTATCATTTATTGTAAAGTACTGGGTATAATTCATCGAATTAAATTTTGATCAAATGCATCATTGGTAGTATTATTTATATGTTCACCCATGTGAAGCACCGCCAACGAGTTGATGATAATGTTTTGTTTACTACTCCAAAAGAGAATTTGTTCTTATGTTAATTGTAAACATGTCACAATGAGATTTTCTTTTATTATCATTTGATATTATCTTCTCTTCTACGTTACTTTTTCATGTATATCTTAAGATACATTTGTATTATTATTTTCTTTTCCAAAAGTATACTACTATTATTAAGTTTGTGTATTGCATTGTTTATGTTGTATCCAACTTTTGTGTTTTATATTTGTATAAAATATTCCACCGTACATCGCACGGGTGAAATACTAGTTATAGTAAACCCAGTCCAGTTTTAAAAACAAGAACATAACGAGGAAAACTGCCTACTGTATATCTTCGGCCGACGACTCGGCGAGCGTAGGGTCCAGCAACTTCTTCATCAGTCAGCAGCCGTACTTCGGCGATGGTCCAGATACCAGTCCGGCGGTGGTCCCGACGTATTCCTCTCGCTAGCGATTTTCGTCGGTCGCTTCCTTAGGATTCTAGCGCGACAGCCCTTCTTAGTTTCAGCGGTCCAGCGACCTGTGAGGTTCTCCGGCAGACTCTCCCTGTTCTTCCAGCATCGGGGCAGTGAAAATAGATGATGATGACGTTTCAGGGAAGCGGTGTCCCTGACCCTTCCTTCTCCAGTGCAATAACTCTGGCTTCTTCTCTTCCTCCAACGTGAGGAATCTGTAGCAGCTTTGGGGCGTGGGAAATCTTCCTCTGGTCCTCTCTATTTCTCACTCGTAGTAGTCCGGCAGTGTGATGCAGTAGCTGGATTAATTTCTTCGATCTCCGACAACTCCGGTTTAACTCCTCCTGTGGCTCTTGTCAATCTGGTCAGCGGTGGCTACCAGATTTTTGGTCTGGGTATTTTGTTTTTTTTTCTTTTTTTTTAACGTCACACACGCAGGGTAGGTTTCGGCAGGGACGGCAAGGTGACCGTCGCATACATAGACCTGCATATATATTCTTCAGTCGATGCTTAAAGATTAGGGTTTCCATGCGTGACAGCGTGACAGTCTTTCACATTCAAATTGGGTTCTAATTATTATTAATTATAATTATATTAATATATAAGAATATTTTGGCCGTTTAAAATCTTTTAAAAGTTCAACCGTTATGGTCTTCGTACGTCCGCATGCTATTATTGGTCCGATAATTTTCCCCTTTATCATTGTCATTTACTTCTATTTATTATTATTATTATTAATAATACATGGTTTTGGCTAATTAATTCCTAGTGTATTTAGGTGTGATTATGAACTCAATCGTGTGGAATTTATCAAATGTCAGTGGTATTGTTAAAATGTCCTTAATAGTTTATGTAGTTAGTAGTTATATATGATCAAATTCATAAATATCAATTTTTTTTGGAGTGTCACATTGACTGTCCCTCCTCCATAACATTTATAGAGGAAATTAGAAGGTTGTTCTTTTTACCATTGTCATCTTCACGCAACTTAATGCCTTCTTCAATTTGAAGTCGGCGACCAAGTTGCTCCATTGAAAAATCCTCTTTTTTCCGTTTGAGGCTATTTTTCACTTCCTTCCATGAAGGTGGTAATTTGTCGATTATAGAACCGACCGCAAAGGTTTCATTAACATGCATGTTATGAATCAAAAGTTGATCATATAAACGTTGAATCTCATGAAATTGCTCCATGACCGGACGAGAATCCACCATTTTGTAACTATTAAAGTTACTAATGAGAAATTTCTTATTAGAAGCATCCTCGGTCATATATTTGGATTCTAGAGATTCCCACAACGTTTTAGCATACTCAACATTTTGATACACGTCAAATAGAGAATCACACATACCGTTCAAAATGTGTCCACGACAAATGTAGTCGGCATTATCCCACTTTATGCGGCGGTAGCTTGTTTCCAAAGACTCGTTTTCTTCTTCCTCGGGCGGCCTCGGGGTGCTTAACACGTAGACCACTTTCAAAGTGGTGAGCAAAAAATGCATCTTTTTCTGCCACCTTCGAAATTCCACACCTTCAAATTTTTCCAATTTTTGAAAATTGGTGTTGATATCATGTTGCGTAGCGGCCATATTTACGGAATAGTAAACTTTCAGATTGTTAGAACCGGAGGATAAAAATAGTAAAATTAAGGGTGTATAAATATGGCTGGACCGGATATCACTTCTAGTCACGTATTAAATACGCTTTCCTAAAAGTTTACTATCTACCCTTATCACAGTAACCGGGTTACAAGATAGAACTTTTGGGATAAAAAGAAGATGTGCAGTGTATTTTGGTTATTAACAAAATAACACCAAACAAGTGATTTGTATATAAAGTGGTCTAAGTACTTCTATTTTATTACTGCAGATAATAAAATAAAGTGAGGCAAGATGATAAAATTTTGAAGTTCGAAAATCGAATAATGAAAATCATCCGTGTTCAATTCCATTTATAGACGATCATACTGCAGATAATAAAATAAAGTGAGGCAAGATGATAAAATTTTGAAGTTCGAAAATCGAATAATGAAAATCATCCGTGTTCAATTCCATTTCCATTTATAGACGATCATACTGCAGATAATAAAATAAAATGAGGTAAGATGATAAAATTTTGAAGTTCGAAAATCGAATAATGAAAATCATTCGTGTTCAATTCCATTTATAGACGATCAGGATGTCTGATTGGATACAATCGGATAAAGATTGACAACCTTTTCAAATGTTGTGATGGTTAGGAACGTCATGGCTTTCTCAATAAAAAATTACTTTTTGATTATTCTGTTATTATGTACGTAAGTCTTTTAAAAATAAAATCTTGGATAATAACAAACATGACCATTCAACCATCGTGTCTATTACAATTATTATTATTTAAGATACGATTTACTTGATAATAACAAAAAGTAAAATACATATCTAACGAATAATAATAATTGTAATTATCTTTTAATATTATTTTAATTAGAACTCCACAACACAGAATTAAAATAATATTAATAAGGTTCAAATTGAACACTTGAGTCATATTTCTCAATAAATCCCAACACGGGGTAGTACTAATACAAATATAAAAAGTTCACTCTTGAACCTTCAATAAATGTTTTTTTTTAATTTCAAAAAGATTAACATCAAAGAAAAAAAGAACATCATTTGAAATCATAATAGAAGAAATTCCAACATACAAGATTCCATCTAGAGGCAAAAGTGATTTTTTTTTTTTGCGATGAAAGGTAAAAGTGATTCTTCGTAGAAGAAAATAATTATAAATCAATTTGATCAAGATAAGAAGCCTTCCCAGCTTCAATAAATTTCAATACGTTCGATGCGTCACTTTGCATAATAATTCTACCATCTTCCATGTAAACAGCACCATCTGCATACTCAAGTTCTTCAAGACGATGGGTCACCCACAATGCAGTAAGTTCTTTAGAAGCATTTATAGAGCTCTTCACAGCCTTAATCACCCCAATCTGGCAAAACTCCACAGAAGATACATATGCATGTATAGATAATTAGCAACTATATGAGAAGATTTGAACAGATTTTGGATTCAAATAAAGAGGCCGCACAAGGAAACTAACAATTGCATTCTCCTTTTCAAATAAAGAGGCCGCACAATAATTGAATAGATTGATCGCAATAATTGAACTTGCATCATTGCATGAGACTTCTCATGGGATCCGGGAGACACTTTTCAATGATCAGCATACTCTTTCAAAACCAGACTTTTGGGGGAAAGACTAGTAATAGAACAAAGTCAAGTTGTACATGTACACTCAACAAAAAACAACGACAAGTTAACAACAGAAATAGTACCTGATCATTTTCGTCCAAGAATGTAGTAAGTTCATCTAACAACAATACTTTGCATGACTCTGCCAAAGCACCAGCAGTGGCTACCCTTTGTTTTTGACCTCCACTAAGAATCTGAACTGGTTTCTAGCAAGTACAAGACAAACAATCATTAATTGCAATAGTAGGGGGTGATTTATACTTTCTCCCCCCTACAATTGGTCATTAGTAAATGTTAATTTCCGGCACTTTAGTTAAGCACAAGGACGCGATCGGTCCTACACATATGAGAAGAAGACGGGAACAGTCGAATTAAGACAAAGAATGATGTTAGGAAATACTTAAACTAAATGCAGCAACAAAGTAAGCCTTATGTGGCAAAAAATAGTTGCTCATCCAAAAGCTCTTTTCTCCAGAAAAATTATATAAGGGAGCACCCTACCTTGTAAAGAGACATGTATGACAAACTGATGAGATGCAAGAAATACTCCAATTAAAGAGACATGTATGGACAAATTGATGCAGTGACCTCTAGAAACTCTGGGTGGCACAATGGATGATCACAGTCAAAATACACTAACACATTGGACTCATCCATTGAAGGCATTACGATATATTATCTCAAACTCCCTTCAAGAGTCAAGAAGCTCACATGCGGCGTTAGCTTTTTTCTCCCCTCACCCAGTAGCTATGTCAACCTCACTCACCAACAAGTGTTTTTATGCGTAGTAAATAGTAATTAACTAGGAGGAAAAGTGTATAGTCAAGTGAACTCTTAGAGAAAGATTTGAATACTAAAATTCTTGAATTTTTGGAAGCTTTGTTACAAATGAGGGTCTCTACCACTATTTAAACTTCTCTATTTCTGCAAAGTATTTGTATTTCTCCGCCTCATCAATAATGGTGGTGATCATCTTGGTCCAACAGATAGAGTGGTTCTCTAGAACATTGCATAAATATCTTATTCTATAAAATACAAAGTGTATCTGAAATAATTTAGAATTTATGAGTATCCTAACCTTTTCCATACAATTCTAGTCTACTCTACCAAATCCTAGAGCCAGTTATGAGCAAGATGTGGGGAAACCTCTACTTTTTACTACGTATATCAAAGATGAAAAGTTGTGACACTAACCTGCTAAATGAATGTTGACTGAATGTCTCTAGAGTTGACTAGTCAAGCTATTTTCAACCTCTATTTGGAGGGGTTACTTTACCAAGTATTTAAAGTTTTAGACTTAGAGCTGAAATGTTGCATACATGGGATTCATATAAAAGGACACATTCTATCTTTAAAGACACATGTTGCCTTAGGATCTCTAGTTGTTAGTACTCATAAGACTACATCCAATCTCTTAAATATAGAGTATTTGAAAAAAATATGAATATACAACCAATGAAGTGTATGTAGCCTTAAGTTGTGCCTTCATCATTGTTTTCATTATTGGAATTGTTTATTCTAATTACCCCACTCATCATCATTGTTCGAAATAATAGAGGTAGCAGAAATAGTTTTGGTATTTGACATTCATCCTAAATTAATCAATACTTCAATGCTACATTAGTTGTTGAGCATGTGTACTTGCATATTCTATGTGTTCAAGATTTTCACAACATGCAACATGCAGTTTCAATCAAAGCATGAAAGAAAGATTTTGGAAGACAGTACTTGAAGATACTCATACATGCCAACAGCCTCTAGAGCTTTTGCCACTCTAGGCCTGACCTCATTGATGGATATGTTGAGTTTCCCTAGGCCAAATGCTACATCAGCTTCCACTGTAGGCATCACCACCTGTTGGTAGAAGAATAGAATAAGAAACTTCCTTAATTTCTTATAGAAAATAGAATAGGTTAACTATAAACAAACAACACCAATTTCTTAATGTAGACATGATGGGGAAGTAATAGTGTGACTTCATTACAAAATTGTGAGGTCTAATACTGTCCTTGTCCCAATCAAAGTTTATATACATAGACAAAACCCCATTCAACAATAAAGATGTTCCTTCAAGTCCCATAATGGGTTATCCAAATTTCTGGTCAGAAGTAAATAAATGGGACAACCATTATATATGAAAGGAGTTATGAGCAGGCTTCCCTAAGGATAATAATAAGCACAAAAGAGACCATTACAAAATCAAACCTAAAAGAGACCATTACAAAATCAAACCTAAAAGAGCCCATTACAAAATCAAACCTGGTGATCCGGGTTTTGATATACAAAACTCTTCGGTTTCTTCACATAAAAAGAACCACTGTTGGGACATAAAAGCCCCGCCAAAATCTGGAAATTTGCAATCAAAACTAAAGTTAGATAGGTGATACTTCATGGTCCCAAATTATAAATTAAATTTGACTTAAGTTAATGTTAACTCGAATTTACATTAGAATCAATGACTAAAACTTACATATACAAAAACTAAAATGAAACATCAATTGAACCTAATTTGAATATGGTAAAACCTTGATATATATAATCAGATAATAATAACAATTGGAATGACTATATAAATACTTAACAGAGGTAGTGACCTATGGGACATAGGGAGTATCCTGTTAAAAGCTAAGCTAACCTACACAGAGTGCCTCTGTGCCTGCCAGGTTAAAATGCATCAAATGATTTGTTTTCCTTTCACCTTTAAAAGAGTAGATTTTCCTGAGCCATTGGGTCCAAGAAGCATCCATAACTGGCCAGAAGGGATGCTTAAAGAACAATCATTTAGAATTGTGAGGTGTTTTCCCTGTTTTGTAAGAACCGAATATCTCAGATTGCAAGTTTCAATTGCACAGAACTCTTCGATTGTGGAAGACCTGCATTCAAACAAGGTAATAAAGAAGCCTGAATGAAATCATTGCCTGCTTTTCAGAGAGAGAGAGAGAGATGCCTGGTGGAGTGACAAGAGAGATGTGGAAGCTGGAGAGCAGAGGCGCGGATATAATTTGATGAGATCATTCTTCTTCAAGACTTCAACGGTTGAACTTGCTTCATTTATACAGACCCATATGCAGACACGCATATACTCTCCATCTTGAGTTCGGCTCTAATGCCCCCCAAACCTTGCACATATATATAAAATGTAGTAATAAGAACAAATAATTTACCAAGTACTCTGTGTATTTTAGCCGTAAATTTGTACAATCCACTCTACAGCTACTTAGAGCTCTTTTTGGCAATACCAAATTCGATTGAATCCGTTGATAATATCAAGTTGTGACTGAAGTGATCGGATAGACTCATTGTGATGATTTATGAAAAAATTTAGATTTAAAATATATTTTATAAATAAAATAATGAAAGAATTATATGAAAAATTGCTAAAATGGTCTTCTGCAATAATTTTAGCCAATAAAACCAAATAAGTAAGTCTAACATTTCTTATTATCACACAATTCAACCCGTGAAATCAAAAACTACTTGTTTGATAAAAAAAATGACTGACATGGCAAAAAACAGAGTAATCAAACGGGTCCTTAATCTTTGTTTTCTTTTTGAAAATTAATGTTTTTGAGAAAATATAACTACATTGTTATCAACTATCTAATTATTATACTTCGTAGAATATTTATGGTTCTAGCAACTTATGGTTTTAAAACCATCTAGTGACTAGGCAAGTAGGCCGCGTCTAGGCTGATATTTTGAACCATGTTATATTTAGGCCGCCTAATTGGTTGACCAATTTTCCGATCGATTATCACGAAGAGCCGTAGAGGCACTAGATAGAGATGAGCTATGGGGGGCAACACGATTTGAGTACCGCATACTACCTTCGTTCTTAAATAAATGCAACACTTTGACTTTTACACTATTCACATGTTCTACTTTGACTACGTTTTATTTATTAATGTAATAATATTATTTTATGAAAAAAATATTGTTAAACTTATCTCATTGTAAATTTTCATAATCTAATTTTTTTAATTTTTTTATTAATACAAAATCATTTATATTAATGGTCAAAATTGTGTCTCGGCAAGTGTGAAATGTTGACCGTTGCATTTATTTAAAAACGGAGGAAGTATAATATATACTACCTCCGTCTCCACTAAGATTGAGACAAGAGATGGTGGCACAATTATTATGAAAAGTGAGTTTGTGTGGTTGATATTGAATTGATAAAAATAAGAATAAAGTATGAATTGTTTAGAGCCACATAAACTTTACCAAATTTGGTATGAGACAATCTTAGTGGGATTTCCCAAAAAAGTAAAATGAGACAATTTTAACGGGACGGAGAGAGTACTTCATATGAGATAGAGATCAAGACCTATTTTTGAAGATGTTGGATGCAGCAAAGTTAGAGTGCAATGGTTTTCATGGAAAGAAGAAGGAAAACTTTTGATGGGTGTACAAAAATGACCACAAATGTTAGATTCGTGCTTATTCGATCCATTTAAGGGGGTGTTTGGATCTGATTCTCAAAACTGATTCTGCTCCTTCAGAGAGCAGAAGCAGAAGCTGAAGTGTTTGGGTGAAATTCCAGAAGCACTTCTGGTGCTCTAATTTACTCTCAGAATCAGTTTTTTTAGAAGCTGGGGGGTACCAGCTTCTGAAAACTGATTCTGATTCTGCTTCTGCTTTAAAAAAGAAGCAGAATTAGAATCAGTTCCAAACACCCCCTAAGACCTTCAGTGCAAAAATGACCAAAATGTTGGATGAGTTTTTGTCCAAAAGTCATATGAAAAGGGTCTTGTAAAAGTTTAAGTGTATTCAATATAAACTTTTAAAGTCTATAAAAGTCTATGTGTATTCGACGTAGACTTTTAAAAATCTAATAAAAACTAGGCGTAGACTTTTTCAAGGATTGTCATGGGACTTTACCTCATTTTTAATATATCAATTATTTACAATTGTCTCTACTCACCACCGATTCTCATAGACTTTTTCTTTCGTCTTCTATTCGTCACAAGTATGCAAAGATGTGGTTTTGGTATAAGATCGGAATTGGCTAATTCTTCAGGTGTATTCATGGATTGTAAAAATTTATATTTATCCAATGTAGTCTTTTAAAGTAAAAAATCTAGATATATTCAGTGTATACTTCTAAAAGTATAAAAAATCAAGCATAATCAAACATTGATTTATCATCATAGACTTTTAAAATCATGGATTATCGTGAACATTTAACTCATTTTAGTATATTAATTATCTGCAATTGTCTTTTCTTTTTATGAAAGATTTATGTGGATTTTTTCTTTCGTCTTCATTTCTCTACAAATATGCATAGATTTGGTTCCAAAATCAGATCGAATTTGGCTTATTGTATACCCGAAATCATGAATTGACCAACCACCCTTACACTAGTATTGTGTCGGGAGGTGAGTACCAGGATAATCTTGGTATGCAAGGTTTGTAAGTTAAATCAACACTGGTACACAACATAACTTAAATAAAAATTGAAAAGTGATATTTTATATATCATCTTACGTAGAAAAATGTAGGACTGAGACCGGTTTGGTTCTTCAAAATAAATTTAGGAACCATTTGAAATATCATTAGTCCTATATCAATTGGGCTCTAAAAATTTTAGAAGAACCGATATAAAAACCGATAATATCATATTGGCGCAATTGTTGTATGTTATCAATTAACCGTTAAAAAGTAAAATTATATTTAACCATTTTTGTATTTCATCGTTAAATTGCTAACACATACAAATATAATATCAAACTAATATATATTTAACCATAATAATTGTGTAACGATTATTATTCTTACTCATTGACTTGTATAATATAACAATGGATCATAAAAAGCCCAAGCTTGTGGGCTTATCTCCCAATTTTGAGTTTTCTAATTAATAAAAATAAATATGTATGCTTAAACCTCATTTATTCTAACAGAACTCTTCATTACTATTTACTAGATGAATTACATTTATTTAATTATTTCTTATCATGTAGTTGATCTCTTGCGATTTGTAGATTCACGAATGTTACTTAACATAATTCTTGTTAAAACTTGCATTTTCCAAAAAAATTGATAAATATTATTCATTTGAAATTCATAAATTTATGCAAATAAACAAAACTCATCCATAATAAGTGTATAAACTTAAAAGTCTATGGACTTTATTCGAAGTCCACTAATAGAAAATCCATATAAGGCCCTAAGGCCCCAAGTTTGACCACATCTTGCTCAATAGGGTCATGCTACACTTCAAGGGCAATGTACTCGATGTACCAACAAGCAAAGCTATGTAGCTTCAAATGTGAAAAACTATTGTTCTTCACTACCAGTAGCTACTAGCTTAGTTCTCAATAAAGGGACTGCGCTTTGTATGTGCTTCACTCAAGTGAGTCTAATGCTTACAATAAAACCTATTGTAGGCATTTATTTAAGAATATTGAACCGTTTAATCATCGAGCTTGTTAAATCAGACAAATGATTTAATACTTCCATTGGATATCCCATTTAAGCATCCATCTTGACGACTCAGTATGAATCAATTATTCAAGAAGGGTTAGAAGGCTATAACTCTTGTAAGCATACTATGACCAAACGACCGGCCATATTATAAAGCACCTGTGGGCTGTGGGGCTGGGGGCAAGAGTTCAACTTTGAGTAGTTAAAACCTAGTACAACGAAGAACTGTTATGGAGATTCCTTCTTCAAGATTCATTAACTTCTTTCAGTAATGTAGAGGTTATTTATTGTAATATTCTTTTCATGAACTTTTTTAAAATTTACAAATTTTGAAAATTAAATTTTAGCAAAGTCAGACATTTATGTTACAATTTCCAAAATCGATCTACACATTCAGCAAGCAATTCACCCAGCCTTACCATGGAGGTCTCAAGCATTCAGCAGTTAAACTGAAATTACTGTTTTGTCATACAATTTCTCTATTTCTTACAAACACACAAATAAACAAAATACAATTCCAGACATGAATCTGAAGACTCAACGGGGGAAATCCCTAAAACTCCCATCCACAAAAAACGAAACAATTCACGTTCTTCCGTTCAATTTTCCCCATAAGAGCAAAAAACAACTCAAAAGCAACAGTCACAGTCAACTGGACATAAGCGAGTACCTCCAGCATCTGCTTTGTTGATACCCAATTCCTCTTCCGTATAAATAGTGAACCCATCACCGGTCCTCTTTTTCGGCCGTGATCCGGATACCGACCTGATTCCAGTGAGGGATTTCTGGTCTTTTTTCTTAACCACAGACTTCGTGGGCTTCCCTTGCACTTCTCCCCCCCCCCCCCCCCCCCCCCCCCCCTCGGCAGCTTTCTCTGGTGTCTTCCTCTTCCTTCCGGCAAAGATTTCATCGATTTCGTTGCTGAACTTCAGCTTTTTCGATGTCGAAGATGATTAGCTCAGCGTCTTCTCCTTGACTCCCCGATTTTCCACAGCCGAAGAATTTGAATCCTTAGGTTTGCTCTTCTTCGGCATTTTCCAACAAAAACTTCCGTGAAGATGCCACAAGCTCCCCCGAAATTGCGATACTCAATAATTGGTATCTTTTCCGAGTCTAGACAAACCCTATATCGTTGTCCAGGTGCAGGCCTAATTCAATTCTAACCAGTTATTCAATTCCCATTCAGTTTAGGTGGAATGGATAGTATAATTCCAAAGCAGTCCATACATTTAAATATTAATTATAGAGGCTTTAAACTTGTTTTGCATAAATGCAAATAATGTAAAGCCGAATATATTAATTACTACCGCTGCTCCAGGACTATGTTCGTTACTTTGTAGCGGTGTTTCAATCAGGATATGTTTTATTTAGATAATTTGGCAGCAAATCACTACAATTGTAATCTGTTTATGTAGTTGGTAAGTTGGTTGCGTAGTAATGTAGTACAAAACAACCTAAATTTTCCAATTCAAATCACACTGACGGAGTATTAACTCCTAGAGATAAGTGAGAGCTAGAGAGAGAAGTGCAATAACTTTTTGCAATAAATGATTTGTGAACCCCCTACAACTACCCCAAGGAGAGTATTTATAGAGGAAATTAGGGCTGGGCTCCCAAGTCTTGGGCTTGGGAGGCCCATTTACAATTGGGCCACTGTTGGGCTGAGT